GAGGAGAAGAAAGAGAGAAGAGAGAGAGAAGAGCGAGAAGAGATAGAGAGAGAGAGAGAGAGAGAAAGAGGAGAGAGAGAGCGAAAAAGAAGAGAGAGAAAGGAGAGAGAAGAGATAGAAAGAGAGAGAGAGAGAGAGAAGAGCGATGGAGAGAGTAGAGGAGAAAGAGAAGATATAGGAGGGAAGAGGAGAGAGAGCGAGATAGAAGAGAGAGAGATAGAAAGAGAAGAGCGAGAGAGAAAACGACGAGATGAGAGATAGCGTAGAGAAAGGAGATGAGAGAGAGAGAAATAGAGAGAAGAGATAGGAACGAGAGAGCAGAGAGAGAAAGAGAGATAGAGAGAGGAGAAAAGAGAGAAAGAGAGAGAGAGAGAGAAAGAGACTAGAGAGAGAGAGAAAGAGAAAAAAGTAGAGAAATAGGAGAAAGAGAAACTAGAGAGAGAGATACATAGAGAGAAAGAGAGAGAGAGAGAGAGAGAGAGAGAGAAATAGAGAGATAGAGAGTAAGAGGAGAAGAGAGAGAGAAAAGCGAGAGAGAGAAAGAGAGAGAGAGAGAAAGAGAGTAGAGAGAGAGAGAGAGGAGAAAGAGAGAGAGAAGAGAGAGGAAGAGAGAAGAGATAGTAGGAAGAAAGAGAGAGAGAGAGAGAGAGATGAGAGTAGAGAGAGAGCGAGAGAGAGAGAGGAGAGAGAGAGACAGAGAGAGGAAGAGAGAGACGAGAGAGAGAAAGAATACATATAAATATAAGAGAAGAGAGACGATCGAGAGAGAGAGGTAGGATAGATAGACATAGATAGTAGAGAAAGATAGAGGGATAAGAGATAAAGAGAGAGAGAGAGATAGAAAGATAGATATATAGAGATAGAGAGAGAGAAAGATAGAGAAGCGCGATTAAATAGCGAGATAGAGATAAGAGAGAGATAGCTATAGAGAGCGATAGAGATAGAAGAAAGAGAGACCAGGATGAGAAGATGAGAGAATAGAGACAGAGAGATAGGAGAACAGAGAGCAGAGAGAAGAGGAGGAGAGAATGAGAAGAGAGATGGATATAGAGAGAGATGAGAGGAGAAGAGGAGAGAGAGAGAGAGAAGAGAGATGAGTAGAATAGAGAGAGAGAGAGAGAAGAGAATGATAGAAGGAAGAGAGAGCGAAGAGAGAAGAATGATAGAGAGCGAAGAGAGATATAGAGAGAGCTATAAGAGAAGATAGAGAGAGAGAGAGAGAGAGGAGGAGAGGAGAGGAGAGATGCGATAGAGAGAGGAGAGAGAGAGATAGATAGAGCGAGAGAGGAGTGATAGGATTTCGAAAGAGAGATGAGAGAGAGAGAAAGAGAGAGAGAGGAGAAAGAAGAGAGAGAGATAAGAGAGAGAGATAGAGGGGAAAGAGAGAGAGAGAGGGAGAAAGGAGAGAGAGAGAGAGAGAGAGAGAGAGAGGGAGAGAGAGAAGAGAGAGAGAGAATGAGAGGAGAGAGAGAGAGAGAGAGAGAGAGAGAGAGAGAGAGAGAGATAGAGAAAGAGAGAGAAAGGAGAGAGAGAGATAGAAATGCTGAGAGATAGATGATATAGAGAGAGAGAGAGAAGGCGAGCGAGAAAGAGAGAAGAGAGAGAGAAAGAGGAAGAGAGACAGGAGGAGAGGAGAGATGATAGAGAAGAGAGAGAGAAAGAAGAGAGATAGAGTCCGATGAGCGCGAGAGAGAGAGAAATAGAGATAAGAGTAGAGAGTAGAGAGAGAGAGAGATGAGAAAGAGAGCGAGAGAGAGGATAGCGAGAGAGAGAGAAGAGGAGAGAGAGAGAGAGAGAGCGAGAGAGAAAGAGAGGAAGAGAGAGATAGAGAGAGAGAGAGAGAGAGAGAGCGAGAGAGAGAGAAAGAGAGAGAAAGAAGAGAAGAGAGAGAGAAAGAGAGAGAGGAGAGAGGAGAAAGATAGAGAGAGAGAGAGAAAGAGAGAAGAGAGATATGAGAGAATGAGAGAGAGGAAAAGAGAGTAGAGAGAGAGAAAAAGAGAGAGTTAGAGAGAGCGAGAGAGAGAGAGAGAGAGAGAGAGAATAGAGAGAACGAGAATAGATGATGTAGAGAGATGAGAGAGAGAGAGAGAAAGAGAGAGAGAAAGAGAGAGGAGAGAAAGAGAAAGAAAGAGAAGAGAGAGAAGAGAGATAGAGGAGGAGAGAGAGAGAGAGAGAGAAAGAGAGAGAGAGAGAATAAAGAGAGGGAGAAGCGAGAGGAGAGAGAGCGAGAGAGAGAGAGAGAAGAATGAGTGACAGAGAGAGAAGAAAGAGAGAGAGATGAAGAGAAAAGAGAGAAGAGAGAGAGAGAGAAAAGAGAGAGAGAGTAGAGAGAGAAGAGGAGAGAAGAGAGAGACGAGAGATGAGAGAGAGGAGAGAGAGAAAGATAGAGAGAGAAGAACAAGAGAGAGAGAGGAGAGCGAGAAGTATGAAGAGAGAGAGGCAGGAGGAGAGAGAAAGAGAGAGAGGAGAGAGAGAAAGAGAGAGAGAGAGAGAGAGATGAAGAGAGAGGAGAGAGATAAGAGATAGAGAGAGAGATAGAGAGAGAGAGAGATGGAAAGGAGGCTAGAGAGATAAAGAGATGAGCGAGAGAGAGACGAGAGATATGAGATAGAGAGGGAGAGAGAAAGAGAGGAGAGAGATGAAGAGAGAGAGAGAGAGAGAGATGAGACAGAGAGAAGATAAGAGA